GTCAGCCTAAAGAGGATTGCTTTAAAAAAAAAAAAAAAAGAATTATATATGTTTAGTGAACATAAGAAAAAAATTTTATTTATTACTAATAATGAAAAATAAAATAGAACAGTGAATAGCTTTTCACTTCCCCATTCAGGAAAAAAATTATTATCATTAAATCTAATGATGATCTAATTATGGGGAATCAGTACTTTAAATATTGATGGGTAAAAGTAAATTGGTAGTATTGCTCAGGACAATGATTTAGTGGATTATTTAGAAAATTTTAAAATTTTACATGGCATTGACCCAGCAATGACATCTCAAGGGACTTACGCAAAAACAATCTTTATGTATACATATACATATATATATACATATATACAGTGTATATGATTTTATAAATTTTGAAAATACTAATATGATCCTATATTTATATAAAATATGAATATCTATGTGTATAGAAAACAGTTTAGAAGGCTATGAATTAGATGCCAACAGCAGTTAACTATGAACAGTAGAACCCTAAGAGATTCTTATGTATACTTCTTAATTTTTGTAACATAAAATGTTTTAATCTTGAAATTAATTTTAGTTTTTCATTTGAATATCAGTCTATAAACTTTGGTATGTAATTCTTTGAGTCAATATAAACTATCCAAAATATGAAATGGACAAATTTAAGAGAATATTTAATCCCTTCTTGAGAGCAGATGTTAAAATATTTTTAAACATTATGTTACCCTTTAAATAAGCTAGTGTCTCTCAACTGTCTTTTAAAAATATAGCTAAGCTTACTTCTCAGTGTAATAATACATAAGTTTTACTTTATATAATTATAGAAGAATAATTCATATGATTAGATTTTTAATTATTTTGTTATTATTATGAGTTGGTAAGAGAACATTATAAAAACTAGTTTGTAGACAAATATTTTAGTAAAATATTCTCTTAAACCTTATATTTTAAGGATTGATATATTTAGGAAACAGAGATACAATTGATATAGAAGAATCAGTAATAATTATTATAGTTATATTGATGTTTTTAAATTAATTAATTTTAGCTTTCAAAGAGAAGTTTGAAACTTAGAACTCAAGATGGTATTTGAAAACATTAACATTCAATCAAAAATGTATGAATCTTAATTTCTTAAAAATTAGTCCTTTTTTAAATAATAAAATTTACTAGGCATAAGTAATTATTCTATTGGAATGAGAGTAGATTAATGCTTTAAGAAGTTCCTGTCATCTCAATGTATAGGTTAAAATTTTTGTTTATATAAGCATATGAATATTTGCTCTTAGGGAAAAGCCTCAAATATTTTTAATTGATTGTTTTATGTACTTATAACCAATTTAGCCACACACAAATCTTTTCTCTATTTACTCATTCTACATCACCTATTTAGACCTTCTGTATATAATCATACAAAGATTCCTCTATTGAGAAAATTCTTTTTCTTTCTATCATTAAAGCCTTCAAACATAAAGACTTTTTACCCAGAGATGTTTTCTTTCTTCCTTGTAGGATTCTCCAATTTTTCTTTTCTCTCTGTAGAAGCATTTCTTTCTTTCCTTCTAGACTTCTTCTTTATGGTTACATTTTGAAACAATTCCTGTAAATCTTTGAATCTAGATAAATTATTATATTTTAATAAGAAAAAATATTTCAATGGAAATGTAGCCAAAATTTTTGGACACCTTTGTACATAGAATTATATGTTTACCACTTTATGAAAACCTAAACAATAGTTTAGAGTTAAGATTACTTGATATTTGCATTTTAACTTTGTAAGTTACTAAGTATCTTTTGAAATAGGCATTTATATAATGAATTACATTTACCATGAATTAAATATTATTTTTCTTTGAAGAAGGGCATCAGATAATTGTATATAATAATATGAGTTATGTATTCCCTGTGGAAGGAAAATTATTAGAAGTAAATAGGCATCTGTTAATTACCCTATGAATTAAAGATTATATAGATTACTTAAGTAGCTGGAAAAATATGTATTAAGAAGTGAAGATATACTTTTTTAAATTTAATCAGCCACCTTAAATTGAACCTTATTAAGTCATGTGACTTAAAAGTATTTGGATTAATTTTATTTTAGTTTAAATATTATGAGTGAACTCTTTTTATCTATGCAAACTTTGACATTAATGAAGTTAAAATAGAATTTTTGTGCATATACATATTTAATCATTGTGTTTACATATTTAGAAATCATAAGAATAAAAATTTTGGCCATCATCAGAACGTTGTGAGATTAAACATTTTAGATTGCCGGCTTTTGTTCTCATAATGGTCAAAATTTACCTCTAGTATCTCTAAAAAAGAAAAATAATGTGAGAAAACAAAAAATAATGTGTGAGAAAACGTAATAATTTTTTGCAACGCTTCCTTAATAGCACAGCTGTAGAGAGAATGGGAAATCAAGTTTCTTGGAGAAACCTGGTTAATGGGATTAGAAATTAGTTTATTCAACTCAGCATTCCGGAAAGAATTAAGAACAAGGCCACTATTAAAGACGCAGGAGTTCGTTGGCTTGCATTTTGTCTGTCAAGAAAATCCCTCGTCAACGAAAGAAAAACTTCTAGCTGGGTGTTTGCTTGTGAGAAATAGCAATGCTGTGAGATACAGGTTCCGCAATGCTGGAGGGCGGGCGGAAGTCCCGCCCTAGGGATGGGCGGGAGGGACCAAGAGGAAGCCAGAGGAAGGCCAGGAGGCGGGGCTTGAAGGGGTGCACCATGATGCTGCGGTCGCGTGGCCAGAGCTATTTTCCCGTGTTTTCCATGTTACCCGAAATTCTACCTGAAGCTCTGGAGTCCCCACCCCTCGAGTGCCTCCCATGTTCGCCTATCTGAAGTTAAAATACCGGCGGCTTTTGTCAGGCTGGGAGCTATCTAAGCTATGACTGCCTTTTTCATGGGCCCGGTGAGCCGCCATTGCTGTCCCGGCCAACGAAGGGGCAAGCTCCCGTGTTTCTGGCCACCCTCAGCATCCTCTGGGTCAATGCCGTTGCTGCCGCCGCTGTTATGCGTCTGGCTTCCGCGGCCACCGCTCACATTGCTATTTGCCCTGTTTTGTTTGGTGCCATCAGCTTGTCTGCCTGCGCCTCCCGACTCTGTATCCCCTCTGCGGCACAGTCGCGAGGCTTTTTAGGTTGGTTCTCCCTGCCTTTTGCTGACTCCTTGCTGCAAACCTCAGCACTACTGGTGGGCGGCGGCGGCGTTTTGTCTCCTCTTTGGGTTAGCAGCCCAGCCCAGACAGAAGGCAGACGTTGTTGGCAGGGAGCAGTAGCTGTCTCTGCAACTATGGATAGATTTCTTCCTGTGTGTGGACAGGCCCACACAGCAAATAATTTCCAACCCAAAGGTGGGCTTTAGCTAGCAATGGACCAATCACCGGACAGGATAAATCAAAGTAGGTTGTGTTTGGTACCCAAGTTAGTTAGAGTTGCCATCCTTTTTGCAGGTACCAAAGAGACAGAGACACTGCTGGCCCACCTCATGTAGGTTACAGACCTTGCTGGAATCCGCAGTTAGAGCCTTCTGTCAGTCCCAGCATTCTAAATTTGCGTGATTAGAGTTCAGCTGGGTTACGCCTTTAAGTTAGATTGCTCTATCTTAGCGGTCTGTAAGGATGCAGTAGGAGGTGCTGCGGGGAATTTGCCCGCTCAGTTTAAATTGTTAGAGTACTACCGAAAGCAGAAGAAAATGCGTCTCCCCCCCCCCCCCTCCATTTCTGTTTTCATAAGGATTTTGAGTAGATAGACCTTTTCTGGAAGAGATTTGCTTCGGTTTTATATCAGGGTATCAAAATGAACTTTCCCACCTCCTTGCTCTAGATTGCAGTGTACCATCAATTTCTTTGAGGTGGGTGTTGCTTAACTTAATTTCTATCTTCTGAATCTGTGGGTGATCAGACCCCATTTAACCAAGTCTCTGCTTACTTTGAATTCATTCCTGGGTCAGGTCCATGTTGAGCATCATCATAACGGGGCCACAGCCAGTGTCTCTTTGGGGGATTCTTCTTCCTGCTCAGGAGGATGTAAGCCACTCTAAAACTTAAAAGTCTCAAATAATTAGTGAATAACAAAACACAAATGGCCAAAATATATTTACAAAAGCGAAGCTCCTCATAGATCTAGTCCACATGAGTGCTGGAACTAGACATAGAAAAGATGGCTCAGGTGGTTTATTTAAGGGGTTATATCAAAGCCAGGGATAAGGTTTCAAGGACCAAGTCTTGTTTTGTGGTGTTTTGCAGTCAGCAGGTTGATTGGCATCTTCTCACATCACACCCATCTCAGGTGCTGTGTGGACCATGGCAGAGCCTGATAGAAATTCACAATGTCCCTGAGCAATTGACCAGAGGAAATATCCACTGGTCCTTCCCAGACACCAGATGTTTCTATCCGCTAGGCTTCCATGTGTGGCGACGCACTTGCAACCCAGGTATGGCTTTTGACAGTACCTGATACAGTGAAGATTTAATAAGCACTAACAGCCTTTCCTAGCTCTACTTAACTATCCCTCCTCTGTGTGCTGGTTTCACTGTGTTTAATCTGGCATTTCTGCTATTTAGATGCCTGTATAGCTAGTTGGAGAGCCTCTAATAGGCGGGAATTGGCCTTATTCATCCCATTCACTCTTCTGGTCGCTGCACAGTAAGAAGCCAGTGAGTGGGCATTGAGAGAGAGTGACCAGTGAGTGGGACCTTCATGGTGTCCCAGTTTTCTCCCTGGCTGGCTATGTGAGTTTCTCAAGTCACTTGATTCGTCTTCCATCACTTCCTCCTTGGGAATATGAGAGGCTTGGACAAAATGAGTTGATTGATACCCTCCATCTTGGAATGTTTTAGCCTCTAGAATTAGAGATGAGAGAGGTGGGTGTGGGCAAAGCAGGAAGGCTCTGTGGGCACACGCAGCCTTGTACTAGGTGAGGGAGTACAGAGCTGATCCACCATCAGCAGTGACTTGTACCTTGTGTAGGGACCAGGCTTTTCCAGGTGGGGTCTGACTGTCCCTATGCAGCAGGTGGCAAAGCTGGACCTGCTCTGCCAGAGAACCATGTAACTGGAAGCCATGAGGAGAACGCAGTGCCCAGACAATCTTATTCGTTCATGACTCTCAAGGTCTTGTTCACTGCAGTGGATCCAGGACTCCAAGAGGCCAGGCACTGTGCTGGGTGGCCAAGGCCTCTGACCATGGTTGATGCCCTTCCCTTGGCCCTTTAGCCTCTGGAGGCCAACATGGGCATGATGTTTCAGGAGTCACTGTCCATGGTGGGGGTTGTGAGATACACAGGCCTTGGGGGTCACGGATCCAAAAATGGATAACTAGTTAAATCAGATAAATGATTTTAAAAAAAAAGAACTCAAGCATAATTACATTCCATTTAGACCCTATTTGGGACACACTTACACTAAAATTATTTATTATTCACCCAAAATTCAAATTTCACTGGGCATCTGGTGTTTTTATGTGATAGATTTAGGGAGAACCACCACAAGTGTCTTCTCACGACTCCTCGGGGGAGGTCTCTATGGCACCTTGGCATCATGTGCAGAGAAGGGGATCTCTTACATTTTAAAAATTTCTCTAGTAAAGTGAGGCTTGGGGGGGAATGTCTGGATTTTCTATTGCTTCTGAAATAAAGCACCACAAATTTAGTGGTTTTAAAACAACACCAAAATATTTTCTTATGTTTCTGGAGGAGAGAAATATGAGGGTCAAGGAACCAGGAGGTCTACATCCTGTACCGGGCATCTAAAGGAAAATCTGTTTTCTTACCTTTTCCAGCATCTAGACACTGTCCATGTTCCTTGGCTTGTGGTCCCCCTCAATCTGCAAGGCCAGCAGTGGCCCACCAAACCTATCTCACATTCTTCTGACACTGTTTCTTCTATCTCCTTCCATGTTTCAAGGATTATATTGGACCCAACCAGATAAATCAAAATAACCTGCTGATCTAGTTAGGTAGCTAATTAGCAAACTTAATCCATCAGCAATCTTAATTCCCTTTGTATTAGAATATAATATATTCACTGGTCCCTTTGATTAGAATGTGGGCATCTTTGAGTGGGGGGTGCAGTGATTTCCTACCACCAGGAAAGTTCAGTGTTGCCTCTCTCCCCTGCAGTTTGCTCACGGAGTCCCAGACCTGGTGCTGAAGGACATTGCCTGCAATGAAGCCCTCCTGGAGCGCTTCATCATATTTGGTCAGCGTCATGGGGCATGGGCTGTGCGTGACGCCCTGTGTTCCCTCTCCCAGGGCACCCTACAGTGGATAGAAGACACTCTGTATGCCAATGTGGACTTCTTCAAGCTCTTCCATGTGGTAAGGGAAGGGTGATTCCTGGGACAGGCAGCATCTGGGACTCAGCATCCCCTCTGAGCATGGGACCCTTAGTGAGATCAGAGTGCTGGGCAGCCCACTGGGGCACACCAACATGAATTGACACTGGTGGAGGTGTGAACCCAGTGTTCAGAACAAGCCTGGAAGAAGCTCCAAGCTCCAGAGGCCCAAGAAATCTTGACCAATATGATTTTTAGAACATTGGCTTAGTGACCCAGGAGTCATAGGAGCTTCAGCATTAGGTGTGTGTTTATTCCAAATGTGGGCTGAGTGCTCCCCAACACCTGTAGCAATGTGGTTAAGAAAGAAGCCAGGTTTGGTGTTGCACACCTGTAATCTCAGCGACTCAGGAGACTGAGACAGGAGGATCACCAGTTCAAAGCCAGCCTTAGCAACGTAGTGAGGCAACTTAACAAGATCCTGCCATGGCTGGGGATATGGCTCAGTGGTTAAGTATTCCTGGGTTCAGTCTGTGGTACCAAAAAAAAAAAAAAGTGGGCATGGTGGCAACACACAGCAGCTCAGGAGGCTGAGGTAGGAGGATTCTGAGTTCAAAGGCAGCCTCAGCAATTTAGTGAGGTGCTAAGCAACTCAGTGAGACCCTGTCTCTAAGTAAAATACAAAAAAGTCTGGGGATGTGGCTCAGTGGTCGAGTGCCCCTGAGTTCAATCTCTGGTACCCCCCCCAAAAAAAAGAAAGAAGAAGGCCTAGTTTGACTTCTGTAGTTGTGGGCAAGATATTGAACCTTTCTTAGCCCTATTATTCATCTATATAAGTATAATACTTTATAAATTTATAGAAAAAGATACTCTGACACCAGTGCTAGACCCTTTTCTTAGGGAATGTTAAGTTCCCACAGGACACACAGAGGCCACTGAAGCCAACTGCAGGTTAGGAGCTTCTGCATTAAAATTTCTTTACTACCTACTATTAATATGTATCTTTTCCTAAAAGGTCTCAATATAGCTACAGAGTCTTCCTTAATTCTCTTTATAAAGTTGTCAGCATCCCCCCTGAGCATGGGACCCTTAGTGAGATCAGAGTGCTGGACAGCCCAATGGGGCACACCAACATTTGCCAGTGGCCTGGAGACTGTTTCCTGGCTCTGGGCTGACAGCTAACTTGCTGTCATTCAAAGGGGATTCCATCCCCCATTTGTAAAATTGAGACAATAAGACCTGCTCTACACATGTACGAGATTCACATTAGGGAAGAGATGGAAAAATACTTTGAAACCAAAACCATTTTGTTCTTATCAAAGCAAGAATGTCCCCACTTTCCTGGGGGCCCCTTGGCTCCTTTCTATGGTCCTCTCAGACTAGGGGGTGATCTCTCTCATGGAGTGACCTTAAACTGACTCTAGATTCCAAGCTCAGTTTTGCTTTCATCAGCCACAGATACCAGGACAGAAGACCCTGTGGAGAGAAAAAGGCCTAGTTTCTTGTTGAGCCAAAAGAGTCCCATCTCTTGTCTATACACATACCACAGAGCCCACCCTGTGGTTCAGACACTATTCCTCCAGAGTGGGGAGACAACATGTCTCAGTGACCTCCTCCAGTAGAGACAGTTTGGGCATGTCCCCCCACCCCTCCCAGTGACTGAGTCGGAATTCTCCACTCATGACGCATTTCCTAGTACTCAGGGCACCCCTTCTGGTTGCCCCCTCACTACTGAGGCAGCTTCCTCTCTTCTCATCTGATGCTTAACAACTGTCAGGTTGCAACAAACATGCTTCAGAGCCACATTCTCCCAGTTGCCCAGCAACAACTTCCCTCCTGGATAAATCTGGGCTTCCTGCAGCAGCAGCCTAGAGCTTAACCCAGCAGCCCAGCACTCTGTCTTCAGCTGTCTGCTCTTTACCTCTTGTCTGGGTGTTTTCAAGACAACCACCCATCCCCAGCTCTAGAACCTTCCAGAAACTATGTCATCATATATAGACACTTTTAACTTGAGGCTACCTAATTACCTTTGTATTAGGTATATCCTCAACTTAGAAATTAATACTGCTTTTAGATTATCTTTGAATCAGAGAAAGTAAATCAAACAAAAAAATTCAACTCCTAAGATGTTCTTTCTATGTGCTGATGGTGTTGCATCTGATCCAAAGCATCAGCAAATGCCAAGACTTTTTAGGAGCTTATATGATTTATTCTGCATATGTAAAAAATATTACACAACCCCAAAGAAGAGGCATTTTTTAGTTTCTGAAGAACCAAAACAGAGGCTTCATGGAGACAAAAATCCTCTTGTTACCTGTGAGGGCCTCGTATCAATTTCTTCATATAAGATCAAGGTTCAGGGACTGTTCAAACCAACTGCAGTTGATGGAGACTATGCCTTCCACAGCCCTATTTGTATATCCCATCTTCCATAAGAGGTCTAATAAGACCTTGACCTTGGGTTGGCAGTACTGAGCTCAGTGGGGACAAGGAAAGATTGTTATTTGGAAAATTCACAGAACTTGTTGGTGTAGGAAGTTGGGGGGGGGGG